AAACCCAACTTCCATATTCCTTCTGTGAGTACAAAACATTTTTCTGCTATTGCTTAATGTGAGTTTGCAAAAAGATCAGGAGCTTCATAGCTCCTGAGATCAGGAAATGTTTTACAGCTGTATCAACCTTGTACCACTCAGGACAGTCAGAAAAACACTATTACTCTTGTGAAAATTGGGTAGTGGGTCAACAAGTTGGTTGAGGAGAAGCTCAACATAACCTGGCAGTGTGAGCTTGGATCCCAGAAAGCCAACTGTGTCCTGGACTGCATCACGTGAAGTGTGGCCAGCAGGTCAAGGGAAGTGATTCTCCCTCCCTACTCCACTCTTGTGAGACCTCACCTGGAGTACTGCATCCAGCTCTGGGGCCCCCAACATAAAAAGGACACGGACCTGTTGGAGCAGGTCCAGAGGAGGCCACAAAGATGGTGAGAGGGCTGGAACACCTCCCATATGAGGACAGGCTGAGAGAGTTGGGGTTGTTCAGCCTGGAGAAGAGAAGGCTCCAGAGAGACCTTAGAGCAGCTTCCAGTGCTGAAAGGGAACCTACAGGAAAGCTGGAGAGAGACTTTTTACAAGGGCACATAGTGAGAGGACAAGGGGTAATCACTTTAAACTGAAAAAGAGTAAATGTAGATTAGATACTAGGACGAAACGTTTTCCTGTGAGGGTGGTGAGGCAGTGGCCCAGGTTGCCCAGAGAAGCTGTGGATGCCCAATACCTGGAGGGGTCAAGGCCAGGCTGGATGAGGCTTTGAGCAACCTGGGCTAGTGGGAGGTGTCCCTGCCCATGGCAGTGGATGGAACTGGATGGGCTTTAAGGTCCCTTCCAACACAAACCATGCCATGAACAGAGGAAAATTAAGGTAGGTACTCTGATCATGAGCTTGTATGTTCCTCCTTCACATCCAGCTCCAGGCCCTCCCACCACCCAGTGAATTATCTATAAATCTCTGCAGGCTCTGGAACAGCAGCCTCCCTGCGACCTCTTTGCTAGTCGATCCATTTGCAGGACTCATCAAGGACAGTCTCTGGAGGAGAGGACAAGGTTCTTGTCACTCAGCTAAGATTCATCCTGCCTAAACTGAGAAATTTACAGTGTTGATACCTGCACCTGAGGTAGTTCTTCCCAGTTAATGGGAAGTGCAAACTTTCAGGGCCCAACCAAAAGGGAGTTGAGACAAACCGGCTCAGACAACCTGGAGTCTGGTAAAAGCTACCCCAGCCCAAATCCTTATGTTATGAAATAGTGCAGGTACCTGCCTTTAAAACAGGAAAGTATTCTGAGCAAGTGAAACGAAAAGAAAGTGAAGAATTAATTAACTAAATAGAGGTGATTAAAGTAAATAAAGGAAACAATTATCATATCAAAATAAAAGACAAGAAAGATGATTAAATGAGTCTTCAAAAGACCCGTGAGAAACTCATGAAAGACGTAATATGCATTTACCTGGTTTTCATTCTTTCATGATTTCATTTTCATTTTTATTCACTACCATCTGATAATTGCAAGAAACAGCTACTTTAACCATGGGCAATTTAAACCATTTTAATTTTTTTCCAGGGCCAAGAGACAAAAGAACCTATTTATTGCCTGAGGGAATTTTTACTAAAATGAAAGCTTAATCTTTCATGTTTTTTTAAGCAAAGGCTTTTAAAAAATCATTTCTAACAATGCTGTAGGGAGAGACTTCCATGGGTATGCAAAATTGAAATTATAAATTTACAATTATAAAAAAATTAATAGTTTTGGGGATTGCATTGTCTCTGTTCTTTCTGAATGAATACTGTTTCAAGCTTAAGAGAAAGTATTTAGCACACGGAGGAGAATGAGTGTCCTTAGACTCACTTGCGGTCATAGCTATTTAGTAAGAATGTATGAGAGAAAGACCATTGGAGTTCAATTTGTTTGGAAATATGTGATTGTATGGACCTTGAAGAAGGAGTTGCATACAGATTGAACAGTCACTATTGGATGCTGAATATTTTTCTCTTCCTTTTGAATATATTGCAATTGGAAGCCAGCAGCAAAACTTGACATCCTCAAATATCTGATGCCCTGCTTGTTCCTCACCTCCTGGCCCGTTTTTGTGTGTTGCCAATGCATCAAAGTTGATCTGATCATCATCCCTCCATAACAGTTTGATACACTGAAGGTTGCTAAATCTTATCTATGTAAAATTAAGCTGCAAGATGAATTTTAACGGAAGTAACCACCTTTCGGGGCTCTTATGACACATGTTTACAAAGGACAGAACAAGAGCTCTTGGTCAAAGATTGATTCAGAAGAGATCTTCAGGAGAGATATAGTTATGTATGGGTAGAAACATAGACATGATTTATTTTGCTACCATGGTTTAAGGCATATTAGGAGGACATGCTCATGCCCATCCCTGTTCCATAGAGTTATTTTGCTTTCACAGCATCAAGAAAAGGATTAAATTTAAACATGTACCTTTGCACTCTCCTAAATTTGGGCCATTTTCTGAACAAAGAAATATTAATTTAATGCATTATCAGGAGAGACACAAACATTTCTTCCTGGGCTTAGTGCAAGCTTTGAAATCAGACAAAATAATTTACACTAATGAAACACATAAACTGAAGTGTTCTATGAAAAGAAAACTAGATCAAAAAATTATCCTCAAGGCCTCCAAACATCCACACATTGAAAGGCAGATTTACATGTCTTCTGCCAACATATTTCAAGTTTTGATGGAAATACTTTGAGCTACTATGAAAAGCTTTATTGAACTAAATTCATCTTCCAAAGAGCAGAGCAGAATTATTGAAGACATTATTCAGGTTTACAAAATATTTAATAGGGTGGAGAATGTGGAACCAGATAAGAAAGGTTAAACTGAAGGACATTCTAACAAGCCTTGATTTTAGGTTGGTTGTGCAGCACAAATAGGTCAATGCACCTATTTGATTAGACTTTCTCTTTGGCACACAAAGCCGACGAATATTAGAAACACTTGTGTACAGCTACTATCTGTAAGACTTTGAAAAGCAATTGTCATTCTGAATACACTATTTCAAGGGCTACATGTCCAGAATTTTTTGAAAATGTCACATCTTCAATGTGTTAGCCAAATTCATTCATCTCTTTGGAAAAACCTTGGTATCTGCCCTACAGTACCACCCTGCGCAATATTAAGCTCTAGTTATCCCAAAGAAGTATCTGCCCAGCCCGGCTGAAGAATCTCTGAAGACTTGGACATTGGATGAAACTACTTTCTAGGTACTCAAGGAGCCTCCAGACCAGGTTAAAAGAGGGAACTGCAAGTCAGCCAGGCTGGATAAGAGGATTGTTTTGGAGAGGGAGAGAGGAAAATGTGGATCTTAAGGAAGAATCCAAGTCCTGTGCTAACATGACAAGACAAAGAGCACGACAGAAACATGCTGCTGCCTGAGGTTCTGCTGCCACTTTGCTGCAGAGCAGCAATGATAGGGAAAGTTCCTTTCCAGCCCCGCTGCACTGCAGCGCAGTTCGTTGAGTCGCCCTAAGAAGTCTTGTCAGTACGGCTCAAGAAATGCTGAGTATGCTTTGGCAGGACAGGCTGCTCAGACACTTAACAGCTAAACTGCAGAGATATTACAGAGCATGCATGAAATACAACATTTCCACTTCTATAAATGGGTGACATTTAGACAGGAGCAGCGCAGAAGCACTGACACCGAGACTAGCCTTTTGCAAAGCGTTAAGCCCCAGCTCCAGGACAGAGGGAAGAGATTGCTCAGGTTTAAAAAAAATATTTCAGCAAACCAAAATTATTTTCACCCAGCCTGCTTCTCAAAGATGTTGCAAATAAATATTATTTTTAGGTCAAGATGACGCTCACACCATAAACAGGAAAATGCTGCACAAACTTAGTATTAGCCAAGCTGCCTTCCATTTAACCTCTCCCTAGAATCTAACAGGAAGCGATGGCCAGCTTTAACACCCGTCACCATGCTTGGTCCCAGATCTATTGTACAGTGAAGAGTGTTTTTCTTACCGATGGGCTCAAACCGTCTGCCATGAATTACTTTTTCATGGGAAATAAATACACACTTAAACAAGATTAAACAAAAATGTTCTTTAGTGGTGCTTAAAATAATATGAATGTTTTTTAGAACAGCAATAAACACACTTCATGATGCAAATAATTACACCCTGCAGCCTTTATGTAAAGATAAGTGTCTGGATTCTTGACTCAGATCCATCACTGCAAATCCAGAGTAACTACACTGAATCAACATCTCTCTCTGTGGATTCTGAAGATGCTAAAGTGTCACTGAACTCTGGATTTGCCCTGATTTCTCTCTAGGGTTTTCCAGACATGGGACATGCATGGCTGAAAAGTCTACAAGGTGGTCACAGAGGCACCACTAACTCTTATCCTGTTCCTTATTCCTCCATAAATCTGTCTTCTGCTTAGTGTAATGATGTCAGAATCTGCCTGTGTATTCTTTATGCATCTGATATCACTTTTGTAACTGTGCTCTCAGAAACAGAAGAAAGCTCAACTGAGGCTACATTAAGGAAAAGAGAAAGAAAAAGAGAGAAGGACTTCACAAAGTTTCATAATGGGTGAAGGAAATACGTGCATGATGTGCTCGGAATCAAAGATCATTCTCTCAGCGATTAAAAAGAACCACCTCAGTTGATTCTTTCTGTAGGATGGGAAGGATTGGCCCTGTTCTGAATTCTTTCTGAAAAGTATATTTTAGCTTAAATTTCCCAAGCAATTGTTATTTTCATGTAGAGTTTTGTAAGATGGGCCCATGAGGCTTTAATGGCCCCTGAGATGAGTCTGGAAAGGTGAACATGCCCACACTGGACCACAATTAGTTACTTGCTTAAAAATAAGCAACAAAAATTTATTCAGCTATTAAAAGGGTCTCTAGAAATTGTATGAACACAGAACTCAGACACAACATGGAAGCATTGGTTTAAACATCATCTTCCCAACCATTTTCATTTTTGTATTTTGAAAGCAAGGACTCCGCTCTTACCGGGACTCGTGAGGGCTCCCAGAGCACCAGTCGTTGTGGAGAGAGGATTTGCATTGGTGGTGGTAGCTGAGGTTTGGGCGGCGGCTGCTGCGGCTGCTAAAGTTGCCAAATTCTGTAACTGTAAAGCGTTCATGCCTGCGTGGAGAAGGAACAGGGTTAATTAAAACACGTAGTTAAAAAAAAATAAGCTATTCCATGGACATGGAGCTTTGGATGCATCTTGCCAAGAGATCCAATTCTGCTTTTCATTCCCAAGACATCTATAATCCGGGAACCAACTCTTAGAGTCCCCGAATAGCATCTCTCCCCTCTCTACCTTGGAGTTGAGAGAATACAACAAAGGCACCAGGTCATAGTTCAGGAAAATTAAACCTGGTTTATGCCTTTTTCTATAAGGGAACTGTGGAATTAAAAGTCATTTAAACTCAGTGTGAAGCCCAGGCATAATACTATTTCCTGACACAACAGGAGGTGTAAAGAAGATAACTAACGTTTAAAACTCATTCAGGACAGGGTCATATAATTGGGACGAATACAACTTGTTTCCTGTTTCCTCTGTATGTATCTACTGAGGCTACACTGTGCAGTAGTCAATAATTGCACTGATTTTCCTTTTCATGGTTCATTTCTAGAACCACATATGAACTAAGAACATCATATTAGTATCAGTCTGATCACAGAGCCATCACTGAGGTAGGGACTTTCAGGCCATAAGCTCTGGACTGTGGTATCAGGTCTACTCAGTCATCTGTCACTTCATTGGTTTTAGAAGATGTGGGGGAGATACACCTGCATTTCAATGAAGACCTTCAAGAAATGCATGCATTTAAATAGCAACAGCTTTAATTTAGGTGGCAAGTGAAAAAGGACAAACAATAAACAGAATTTATGTGAAATGGAAAAAAAGCTGACTAAGGAACTGACTTAAATCAGAGGGACAGGAGCCTGCTTTTCCAGAGGCCTTCAAAAGTACCTACCTTTTACCTCGGACTACACAAAGTACTTAGGCACTTACTCTAAGGTGAACTGCTTCAGTAAGAGACTAAAATGCAGATACAAGGTAGGCGCTAGAGTTAAACAGACTGGATCCTTCTCAGGATCCTCTGAATAAGATACAACTGTCCATAGGGGCGATGATCAGATTGGGTGTCTACGTACAGATGAGAGAGAGATTGTTTGGTTGGCAGTGAGAGTTCATCCTTTTTGGTTTGGACACATGAGGGAAATCTGTGCATGTTGCTTGCACCCTCAATACAATTGACAAAGTGCACAAAAGCCCCATAAAATACTGAAACAGTTTCATAATGTTCTTGTAGTCCTGATAACATAAGCACACACAAAAATATTAGGTGGTAGGAAGAGAAATATCTTTTTTAGACCAAGTGATATTGCTAGGAACAGCATATGAGTTTTGGCAAACACCCAAAGAAGAGCTTGAGTGCCTGGAAACTTGTCCAATTTTTTTCTGAATGTTAGTCTGTCAAACAAGAGATATCACTTCTCCCTGCACACTTTGTTTCTCAAACCAGGGGAACTTAAAAACTTGGAGAAGATGAAAAAAAAGAGGTTACACATAATACTTTGTAATTATGTTTGAGAAGGACAAAAAAATGCAATGAAGGAGAGGTATTTTCTAGGAATGGAGAACTCCTGCAATAAGGGAGAGCAATATTACTTTCAAATGCATATGTTGCAGACTCAGGTTGGTACAATCAACCAGCCCCATAAAGAGGTATTCTTATTGTCCAAACATTAGGAACTCTGAGGTGAACCTTGATATAAACATTTATTTGTGAATGAATCCCCAAATTTAAATACAGCATGTTCCAACAGGCAGGTCAGGTCTCAGCTGAGCACCTAGCATGCAGAGGTTCTAACTGGTGTGCCTCAGTCAAATGCCCAAAGTCAGCTCAGATGTCGGTGCTTTTGAAAATGTGACACAATGACCATGTTAGGAGCAAGGTTTTCGTTGATCCAAGATCCACCACTTTGCAGCGTGAAATCTGCACAACATACTTGGAGGAATTACGTAACCAAAAAAGCTCTTTCAGGTTTCTTTTGGAGCCTAATGACCATCTTAAAAAAATAAGGCTTTTGTTAAACCCTACCAACCCAAACTATTTTGCAAGGTGCAATAAAGCTACCCTAGTCACAAGTCATTATTAACCTAGACAATTAGGTGTAACTACTAAAGTGATCATGAGTCATTGTTGCAATTTGGTCAGCCTTCTAAACCAGTTCTTACAAAGTTTAAGTGCTTAAAATACAAAGATAACTCTGAAATGGCAAAACTGTATCTTAATTACATAGGCATTTTATAAATACTAAAGAATTAGATATTAGATACCTAAATGACTAGAATAAAACTGCTTAAACTCTCAAAGTCATCTTCTAAAGCAGGAAAAGTTGACTGAATATTTTAAAACCTTTTATTTTAACTATCAGTCTAAAAGTTTTAGAAGCAGCATCATATTAACAAATAAATTTCTGAAACCAGAGATGGTAAGGAAATTAATAATAATTTTCAAATCCTATCTCTGGTTCAACTTGCCAACTTTTCAGTCAAAAAGTACAATTCAGATAGAAATGCAGATATGCAAGCATAATTTTAATTTATTTTTTTAATTACTCAGTTGACCTACTTGCTTGTCTCAGGTGTAATTTTTTTTTCATTAAAAAAATCCTCTTTCTTTGATAGTAACACTCTGCAGATTATTTCAGACAAGACTTTAGGGATGGAGAAGACTTAAACTGGGGTCCAGCTTTTCGCAAACAAGTCAGACAGTGGTTCTCAAAATGAGATATGGAAACCATTTACATCCTGAATTGATATTTGGTCGTCAAATATAATTTATCTTCCTCTTTCATAAGACGTATAAGTAATTCAGCAAAAAAATGTCCAGCAAACACTGCTGGTCTTCACTGAGGCCATATTTCAAGCCATTCTGTAACAGAGATTTGGTAAAGCAGTGGGTTGCTCTCCACCATGGCAGCATGGTTTTCCCCCACCCACTGGTTAGTTATTCATCGGAAGGATCAGTCATAATCAGCTTATAGTTCTTCTGTGGGGAGGTTTCCACTTTGGACTTTCAAACAGTGCACATGGCAGGATTAAATAACAGTGAATAAATACAGAACAGTAGTAGAGACTGCGAAATGGCTTTACCTAGGTGAAATCCCACATGCGTGGACTTTTCTCCAACCCTCAGTTTAGAAGCAAATGGATTTTGAAGCATTTTAATACTGCTTTTTCTATTGTATTTTATGTGCACACCTTTGCCTATGCATGCCAGGCTGCAGAAGGCTACGAGAACGGAGCTGGAAGGCAGCATAAGTGCTGCTATACAGTACCCAAGGAAAGTACAGCAGGCAAGACAAGGTCAACAGGCAGTGGAACAAACAACTGCCTTTTTGGTTTCCCGAACCACCGTCTTGCCTCTGTGGATGCAAAACAAAACCCAGCATTGCCTCATCCCACAAAAACATTTTTTTAATAGTGGGACATTTCCTGTGGAAGCACAAGAGGAACCCATCAACTGGGTGAAGGAGTTGCACTGCCAAAAAAAGGATTAAGAAACGAGAGCTAGGCAGTGACGAAGCTGTCTCCCCACCCAGTCCGTTTTACTCTAGAGGTGACTAAAAGACACTGGCCACAAACCAGCTCTGCAGATGTTAGAGGGTGTCAGCTTTGGTGCCTTCAGGAAAGAAGACTGCTTGCTGTTGTCACACATGGAAAAGAGAAGGATGGCAAAGAGCCCCACTGAACTGAGCACCTGAATGTGACTGTCAGCAAGGACCCACAGCACACACCCTCAGCCAGCACACTCCAGAGCTGCTTGTGCCATCAGGTGTATTGCTTAACGTGCATCCTCTGTAGGACCCTCTGTCTGCTCAAATATATAAAAAATAAGTCCTGTCATCACTGTTTCACATTCCTCAGGCATGTTACCATCTCTGCTCCCTCTTTATTGGTTTCTCCCGTCAACTTGTCAAGTGCGTCAACATCCCACTTGCGAGGACAAACTTGGAGGAGGCAAACCAAATGTTCTCAAGTCCCAGACCCAAAAAGTACTTTGCTTTCAAATGGGGATTTTTGGTTCAATTGAACTTCAGCCAAGGTATAGTTCTGTGGGACTAATCTGCTCTCTCATTCGCTCCCCTTTCACACACTGCCTTCATACATTTCGCATCCTACAGCTTTTTCAAAACAGTCCCAAATCCCGCAACAGAGCTGGACCACAAATGAGTAGATCGTTTTTATTTGAAAGTGCTGCTCACTCAGCAAATGCACCTCTCTCTGAAGAAATGCAAATTGCTTAATGCTGAAGAACAGCCTCACAGGCAGAGCTGCACATGAAAAATGAAAATTCCCCTGTAGGGGGAAAAAAAAACTTCTGGGTAAGGAATAACTCTTGATCTTCATGATGGAGACGATGTTGGGAATTAAAGGGAAATGATTAAAAAAAAGAGAATCACAATACAGTTTGATTCCATTTTTTAATAACATGTATTTACCAATGCGCTATCAGCTTGGCAAATATTCAAGATTGCAAGGAATTTCAACTTTCATTTTGTTATTTAGCAGATTAAAAAAACAATTAAATTATGTACAAAACAGATGCACAGTATGCCTTCCTCGAAACTTAAGACTTTAAAAAAATTATTTATAAGGATAGGGGCATGAAAATTTAATTTAATGTTCACCTTAGGTAATTTTGTGTCTTATTGTTCACAGCAATTACCATAAATCTACATATCAATAAGCGAGAACAGATGTCAGTTGTTACAAGTGCTTGCCAATCAGGCCTGTTAAAAAGTGACAGATGGATGGTGATAGAACATTCTCATAAGGCCTATTAGCACATGCGGAGGAAATTTTTGTAGTGCTGCACAGTCACAGATGCAGTTCTGTGAAAACACGGGGAAATTTGAGAGCACGAGATTTACATTTTACAACTTCTTGCGCTGCCTCCGACACAAACTTTCATACAATGAGGCAATTTGCCTCATTTCAGTCACCACAGCTTTTCTCCTGTGATAACTGTAAATTCGGAATTACTGCGTGTTTGTAGAGGAGGCAACAGAGTCACAAGCCGTTCCTGAAGACTTCTTAGGTCTCATCAGCTCTTGGGTTT